CCTACGAATGAGTAGGGCCAGCGAAGTTTTGCGATTGCCTCGTCGACCGCGGACCGATACTTCGCTGCGTTATTCACGATATATTTATACACACACGCTCGACGTGCTGCCCGGCGTTAGCCGGAACTCGGTTGAAATTAGTGGATCCCGGGCGACCCGCGCATTAATTAATTTTCCGCGAGACACGACGTGCCGCGCTATTTGAGCGCAGTTTTTCGTCGAGCGCTCGCTCGCGAGACCAGCCAGCCCCTGTCCCTGCCCCCGTGGAAAATCACGAGAAACTTTATCGAGTGCTTGACGTGCCTGAAAATTCGACGTTCGGCAAAGACATGCTCGCGCACGTTCGCGGGCGTTTACGCAGTAACAAGCGAATTCCTCGGCGTTTCCCTGAGGAGATGTTTCGGCGCGGATTTCGCCGAAAATCTCCCGACCGACGGATTAATTTTCAGCGAGAACGTACGATATATATGTGTATATATATATCTACACAAAAATATATGTGTGTGTATATATACACATACATATACATACGTATCTGGCGTTGGAGGTGGCGCATCTGGAACGCAAATACCGACGGTATGCGTCTGTACAGAACGCGTGGCATTACGCAGCCCATGTTTCCCCCGGAGGAAAAACAGCGTGGCGTGGACAACATCGATTAAACGTTCCTCCGCATGAATTAAAGAGACTGTAAAAATTTGTTTACCTCCGGGAGCCACCTCGTGACGGATGGGAGGACAGACGGATGGACCAAGTACATTTTCAAATGATTTAAATTTCAGATTGCTCTCTCACACACACATAGCCGAGTCCCCAGGGACTGTGGGAACGCTTCTTTCCGCTCTTCTCCGCCCTCTCCCTTTTCTGTTCTACTCCTCTTCTCGCTTCCTCTCGCGCAGAGACGACAGGTTCATCAAGAGGGGAATAATAGTAGAACCTCAACTATACGAATGATTCTTCGATAATGCGCGAACGGAAATGCGCACGGACAATGTGATTGAAAGAATAATATAGTCGTTAATTCCGCGGCGTGGCGAATTGGCTTCTGGCTGAATTTAAATATATCTCGACGTTCTCGTGAATTTCCGACGTGTATATCGACGGACTTTCGGAATATCAGGTTCGGCGACCGTGAAATAATAAGTTAATTTGCTTCCGGAAGGAGCTCGATAAATTTCAGCGTATTTGGAATCATTGTTGGAAAAATGTCTGAATCAAATGTATCTGCAGATCAAGTCACGATATAATTGTATTTATTATGTAATCTTGTATATTAATATTAATCTCATAATTGTTACTAATAATATTAATAACGAGATGAAGAAAGGAATCTGAGCAATCCGAGCTTAAATTAAAGCCGTTCGTACAAGCGTGTTTGCCGTGTTTTAATCGATCGCGACTTTTCCAAGTGAGCAATGACAGAGTGATATAGGCGCGTATAGGGATATATGTCAAAAAAAGATATTTTTTTATTTCACCTTCTACGTCGACTTATTCGCGAGTTATAGTCGTTTCAAGCTGCGGGAATCGACGCCGAGCTTTGGCTCAGCACCAGCGCCGGATAGAGACCCTAGATATAAGAGACTGACCAAGGCTCTGGTTGGATAGAAAATGGCGGACATAATTTAAAGATCCCATACACAGATGCGTCAAACATTGCGACGTCTGTGCCAGTGTCAGAGCAGCTTA